ACATGCAGAACAATGAAATGGGAATTTTGTCCCTTCTTGAAAGGTAATTCATTGGACAGTAATTTTGATTTGCTTGTTTTTAAAAAAATAAAACTTCAGCACCCCAAAAAGTTTCCTGGGTTGCCCCTTGTCTCACACTTAACAGAATTAAAACTCTGATTTCTTAAATGCCATCTGTTGGGTGCTTCAATAAGTGATTTACATTCTAGGATTACATTTGATTCTAATAAATCTTATACATAATATCTATAATAAGAGGATCGATACATAATATTGACATCTGAGTAAAGTTATGACTTGCCCAAGGCCTTACACTAGGTAGAGGGTGCAGCAAAGACTCAAAGTCAAAAAACTTTAACCATTAGGATATTCTGTCTTAAGCCTCATGACACTATTATTATTACCATTTTACATTTGACAAAGAATCAGGTAAGGCTAAACCAGTTCAGATACAGTGACAGTGAGTAGGTCATAGAATTGATGGGAAATATTTCAAAGCCCGTGTTGTTTTCATGACATTACACTGACTTTCTTAAGAAGTAATATTCAAATATCACAGATGAGATGTTCAGTAATTGCTTAATGGACAAAGGAATTAATAAACAAACGGAGAGTAACTGAGGCATCCAAAATGGACCCTAGTGATCTGAAAAAAGTTGATGATTTCCACTTTTTAATGCAATAGGAAAAATAAAAATAAAAGTTAAATGAAACTGAGAATAAAAAGGGAACCCCATGGTTAAGCCTTTTAATTTTTCCAACTAAGAAGAAATTACCAATAGTTAAGAAATTCTAGAATTGCAAGACTTCAATCCTTCAGAGAGGGGTACTACGACTTCAGAGACAATATTTTGGGATAATGGATGAAAGGAATTAAAAACAAAACAAAACAAAACAAAACTCCCATCCTAAGACAACCCCACAACTAATAGAAAGAAAAACTCCAGTTTTTCACAGCCAAAGTTTACTGGACAACGGGCTTGAAAATGTGTCTGGGAGCTTGTCCCAAGATTTAAATATGTTTTCCGATCCAAGGTCCTTCATTATATCTAAGCAACATTTAAATAGTTTCAACCCATTTTCCTCATTTCCTTTTGTAGAGAAATGGGAAATATCAACCAGCCCCCAGAAGATATTCCCTGATCTGCACACAGAGCTTAGCCTCTTGCCCTCCACCAGACGCCTGCGTGGTAACAACGACGAAACACATCGTTCTAACTTCTTCCTTCCAGGTCACAGTGTCATCCATTACCCCCAGTGCTCGAGATATAAATGGTACTTTTAGGATAATTTTTTTTTTGGAAATGCTAAGAAGAATCCTTGTAGTTAGTAATGCCTCAAGTTTTGTACTTAAGGTTTATCATTGTCCAGGATACTTAGCATCGCATTTAGAAGTTATTGATTCTGCCTACAAAGGTGTTCAGCACAGGCTGGTAGGACACCTGCTTCTATGGCCAGAAACTCCACTCAGAGACCAACCAGATAGCATTTCCCCTCTTCCTAAGCACGGAGAAAAGACGGGACCACACCAAGGAGTTGCCTTTACACGGTTATATGTTCTGGCTCCAGTCATGTACATGACAGTGAAGTTATTGAAAGAGGTGAAGACAAGTATCTTCAAGCCACGCATCTGACCTTGATCTACTTCAAATCTCACAATACAGAACTGATAAAGTATTTTTTAATATAATGATAGTCCTACAGCTTCTACTCATGTGAACTACTATTCTAACAGCCTTAATGATATTTAATATGCTTTAACTTGTTTATGGATGCTCTAAATCTTCTTCTATCTTCCCTAGCTCATGAAGATAAAAGGGAAGAACATGAACAAAATAATTATTTGACCCTCGACGGGAAAGCCACACACAAGGGGTGACACCAGAGTGGCTGAGCACCTTCACCGGCGCGTCACAAGATGAACCTGCGTCAGATAACTTGCTGCTGTGTTTATTTGATGTGATTCAATCCAGTAACTTTTTCTTTATTTATGAAAGCATCCAACAAACACCCGTGCTCTGGGAGAGGGAGAAATATTTCTTTTAATGATAATACTGCCATGAGTTGATTTCCCTGTCTTTCATTTTCCCCCTGGATATATCAGCAGTCAAAGTCTAACCTAAGAAAGGACTTGGGACAATGAACTTGCAGATCAACATGCCTAATTTACTGAACACATGATTCATAAAGACAGGAAAATATGAGCACACTAATGAAAATATCAGGATGGAATCCTTTGAGGCAGACAGAGTGTTCAGTGAATCCTTGAAATTCATAGCCTATTTTACTATCAAAATGTCTATGGTTTTATGAAACCATGCACAGTTTATGAAGACAGTAAGATGACTAATGAAGAATATTTCTTGCTTTCTATTGGGAACTTTTGTTTGCTTCTAACTGTTTAATTTATCCTCTCTCTCCCTTCAATTAACCTCCCTGTTTGTATTCAATGAGATGACACATAATATGGAGAAAGAAAAAATTTTTTGCTGATTTATGAATATTCCTTCAAAAAGTGGCAGTTCCTTTCAGCCAGATGCACAAGTGTTGAAAATGGGAGGAAATGGACAGAATAGTAGCTATCCCGAGAGGAAACATACCATTGTTTCCTGGGTTGCTTAATCAGCTGCCCACAAAGACCTCTTTTAAAATGGCCTCTCAAGCTTCAGGGTGGGCACGTGCACAGGTACTCAGCAGACGGGGGAAACCTCTGGGTATTGGAAGGCCTGAATCTGGGACCACTTGTTCTCACGGTATAACAGCAAAAGAATGATTTAAAGGTTCTCTACATCTTTCAAAAAGTTTCCTTGGGGGATTTATTTTCAAATGAATCAGGTCCCTTATTTCTATATTGTTATTCAAGTAGAGTAGAAAAGCAACAAAATGAAATGAAACAATAAGCCAATGGGATTATTAATAACCACAGGAAGAGATGTCAAATTATAACAAAAAGACTTGCTGCTAACAAAAATCCTGTTCTCAGACAATGGTTAAAGTTGTTCAAGAACAGCTCATTGAAGGGAAACTAACACGGACTATTGCCAGGGAAACCGACACTACAGTAGAATGATCCATTGGGGAACTGTTGGTCGGTGAGTTAAGCCCACCTATGGATGCCTTGGTCCTACACTTCTGCTTTTCCAAGCTGCACTTGTCTGTGCTTTGTTGTATTTCCTAGAATACACAGTCAAGTATGTAAGATCCCCCCCCCACCCTAGAATGAACCCTGACTTGGCATGGGCGATGGCACTATACAGGATTTCTCCTCCCTGCCTCTGGTCTCCGGGTGCCCTGGGACTTGGGGCACAGAGATTTTTGATGGTAATACACTGTCTTCTGCACGCCCACACATTGTGATTGTCAGCACGTGACCCCTGGGCAGTCATGGCCCAGGAAGCCTGTCTCAGAGGGCAGAGGAGGAGGAAGCCAAGTTGGGATCCTGGGGGTGGGCACCCTGCCAGTGCCTGACCTGTGCATTTGCACTGATTCTGCAGGAAGCTGACACTTCCCTACCTGTAGGCGAGCTCACCTGTAACAGTGAGACCCCAAAGGTGGCTCCCAGGTCTGTTATCTAGTAGCCTGCAGGGCTGTCCCTTGGCAGGCACCTGGAAAGTGGGAGGTTCCTGCTCCAGCTAAAGTGGTTTTGCTCACTTGGTGCACAAACACCTGCTTTACTTCTGAGGAGCTGGAATGTTGGTGTGGCTGACAGTGGACACACCCTTGAGCAGTCTCAAGAAAAACCTTTTTTAAGGCTAAGTGTCAAGCAGGGTGATGTGGGCAGAATCAGTGCACGCGTGTCAATGCTTTCACCGCAGGAGGAAGCGGCCTGGGACTCAGGCTCAGGGGCGGGAGAGGAACATAGGAAGCTGTGCAGGGTTTCTCCAGACACCGTGATGTCTGTTTTCCAGAACTTTCTGGCCACTGCTATAGGCACGAGGGCACCGCCTCTGCGTTCTGTGAGTCTCTCTAGTGGGCTCACCAAACATGGGGTGGTGGAACCCTGAAAGCAGATGCAGGGGCGTCAATAAGAAAAAAGATCCTTACTTGAAGATTTGTACCAACACAATTGTGACAACTTATAAGATATATGTGAGTTCAATTTCCTATGAAAAATTTCTGGCTAACCAATCCCTACAAGGAGTGAAGCGCTTATTACAGAAGCATTGGAAGAAAAAAGTCCTCCATCAGCTTTATCATTTTTAACCTGTAGATATAAAATGTGGAAAAATGCTGTATCTGGAAATTTGAAATTTTTGAGGGCTGTGTCATTTATACTGCACACTATTACTGAAGTGAGGTAGACATTTCTTACTTACTTTGGATGCATTTTCTCTAATCATTTAATTTCAGCGACTCAAGTAAAAGCAAAGGCACTGACTTCCTTGAAAATGTGATAGAATATATGTTCTTGATTCTTTGCTTATCCATGCTAAATATTATCTATAAGCTAACTAAATCCCTTTTGATTGTTTTATTTAACTTACAAAGGCTCATGAATGTCATCGTCTTTACAAAAATGTTAAGCATATAAGTTAAAGAACTAAATTTGTGCATTTTTCTCCTATTTCTTGTGATCCTACAAAATAAAGTCATAAAAGCCAATACCTTTTCTTTAGAGACTGAAACATACCGATAAGCTAAGAGATGTGATTCTGGAATCTAAAAGGCCAAAAGGGTCACATATTTGGATTTTTTAAAAGCAAAATACATCAATATTAAGATTTGCATGGCAATTCAGAACAGTAAAAGGTAACATTCAATGCAAGTTTATTTATCAATAAGAATGAAATCATGTCTACGGGGGTCCGTTTTTGGCCATCGTAAGAAACAATGGATAAAAAATTGTTGGTCCTTGTGACAGCGGTAGCAAAGGAACTGAATTGCCATTGTAAAGTGATCACCTTATTTCAAAAAGCAATTGCATTCTACGAAAATATTCATTAGAAGAAACCGGCTTTTGCAAGCTAGAAAGCAGCACAGCCCGAGTTCTCCGGCCCTACCGATCGTGCAGTGCTCTCCGTTCCAGCCCTGGCTGCATTCACACTTGCCGTCCCTGCAGGTGCCGTGCTCCGCGCAGCGCGGGTGGCAGGCTCTCTGGTTACACGCCGGGCCCGTCCAGCCTTCCTCACAGCGACACGTGCCCCCCATGCAAACGCCATGTGAGCCGCAGTCCACGGAACAGATTTCTGCATTGGGAAGAGAACCAGCAGGGCACGAGAGGAGAGAGCCAGGGTGAGCATGGAAATTCACAAGCAGCGCGCCATTTTAAACTTGAATTGCTAAGTGGAAAACAGAATCATGGAACATAAGTTAAAAACATGTACATACTAAGTACTTTTCTCCATCAGCTACTGAGAATGAGAAATGGTAGAAATCTGCTGTTTTATTCATTGTTTAATTTTTTTGGACTTTTTTTATGCAAGAAAATTATATGATAAGTTTCAGGTGTTCACTGTTGCATCATTTCATTTTATATATTGCTTTAAGTATGCATCAAGTACACACAGGACATTGTTATGTGAATTTCCATCTGATGTCTATTTATACGTATGTGTGTTTTATAGGTCACACACACACACACACACACACAGGCTACCAGCAAAATAGAACAGCTGAGATGTAACAGGAGGAAATGTATACACCTGTACCTGGTACCTGTGTGCAGCTCAGAGTAGCTTTTGGCAGCTAAGAACACAAGCACACCCACACATGCACGGCGTTAACATCGAATCAGTGAAATATTAGTGTCTGAGGATGTCAGGTACCTACTAGGAGTTGGGCTTTATATAACCATGTAGCATGACACGAAGGGGCAATTCTAATCCTATGGTGTCAATGTTTAAAATATTCATAAGCGTTCCTTAAAACAGAATCCATCATGGCATGCTCATTAGCTTGTATCTGCCACACTAGGTGCTGGTTACATAGACAAGATTGTTGCTTTTGCTCGCTAGTAAACTTGCACTGTTGTCAGATACAAGGTACCTAGAACCATAATTAACTACTGAGAATCTGTCCCATGAAAAATAAGGATTTTCATTTACTAGAATTATGGGACAGGGTGCAGGTGACAGGGCAGGGGAGGGGTGGGGAGTGGCTGCAAAACTTTAATAGTTAGGGCTTTAAAAGGAATTCAGGTGACGGGAGTGATTTTTCTTCTTAAAAAACTTTAAGGTCTTTAAATAGGAGCGAGAGACACAGAGAGAATTTGGAAGGGTATTTTATTTTTTACTTTATATATAAAATTAAGTACTATGAACTATCTCCTTTTGCTCAGACTGCAAGGCTATCCCATTTTTGTTTCCTCGTAGAAGGAAAAATGCTGCCTTTCCTTCTAACCAGCAGAAAATGGACTATGGCCGCATTTTTAAGTTAAACCCAGTAACTTTCTGAGGTTGTGCGCTCCTGCTTCCCCCCTTCACTGCCCAAAAACCAGTTCTCAGACGCCACCTCCTCTGGCCGGGCCCTGGCACTGGACACCATACCCAGGCGCCTCGGTGGCCTCATTTCTTATAAGCAGCAGCCAGGACTGTTAACTGCAGGAGATGCTAGGTGTTTTTTAATGTCACATTTTCTATCTCCTTTGAATTAAATTTTTGATTAAGAGATCCAAGATGGTTTGATTAACTTGAGAGCAACAGAACATCAACTCAGCTCCAGAAAAAAAGAGGTTTCTTTCCGAGGTACCCTTTTTATTCAATCTAATCAATTTTTCATTAGGGTGAAGGTGTTTATCAGCGTTTAGCACACTAGCTTTGAGCAAGGTGCGTCAATCTTTGTAATGAACTTATTAATTAGAGTTAATTTAATTGAAGTGGAATTGAAGGGCTAATTAATGGACAAACTGCGGATGAAGATAGAGGAAAAGCTCTGTGGCTTTCAAACCTATAAACTTTTGTTTGGAAATAATTCATTTCTTCTCTTTTAGCAGCTTAAGCAAATGTTTTCTTAGGTGTACCATCTACTTATTGAATTTAGATACCTGAAGGTCGTTTCCACAACAACAGAAGAGGTAGCTGGTAAACTGTTTTTGCTTTATGATTCAGTTAGTGAGAAATTCAGAATTAACACCTGGTAAATTTTAAGCCTTCCATGTAAATGAACAAAAATGAAGAACAATGTTTTATAAACTTCCAGTGGGAACTATGCAATACGCAGGTAAATTTGAGGCACACGGACCTTGATATTTTCACAGGATGAATACATGCATGCTTGAGATCCTTACTAATAATTTTGAGCAAGTTTTCATTTTGCAGCTAAAAGTTTAATAAAGATTTTTCTGAGCTGAATTACATTCTTCCAAAGAAGACTATTGTATTCAGTTTGTAACTCTATATATTCAGAGTTTAATATATGTTAAGTGTTTTGCACTGGGGATATAAAGATGAATAAAGTGAAGACCTTGGCTACTATGTGTACACAGCCACTTATATATGAGGGAAATAGTGAAATACAGCAGCATGAAAAAAAATCAGTTTAAGCATGTACAACTGTGACAGAATTTTGACAATTCACTCTTTTAATATATGTATTATAATCTTTTAATATAATATTTGACATTCATAACAAGTATTATTTTAAGAGCCTAATTTACCTTGCGAGCTATTTAATATTAATTACAGACTAGCTGTTATAATTCAGGTAACGTGTTAAATAATTTTATATGAAGCCAAAAGGGGTCGATTTTCCTATGCTTTCCCTTCTTAGATAACTATGTGGAAAAAATTAGAATGAAATATTTCAAATGTGTGCATTCTATAGTTAATATTATCATGCTTTTCTTACCGATGGAGGCATAAGACATCTGAAATAAGCAGTTTTATGATACATATAATTATATCTATAAACTTTAATTGGATCTTTGTATGGGATGCATTTTTTACCATAGAAGCTGGAAATATAAATGAAAACTCAACAGGAATAACTAAATCCTTACTTTGATTCCAACAAGTAAGAATGGAGGGCAAAACAAGTTAACATGCCATTTAAAATAATGCCACACACCCATGTTTAATAAATATTGGTTGGTAGTGATTTCCAAAAACTCTTCAGTGAGCTATCAAGGCCTTCTGTGATCCAGTCCCTAATTTACGTCTTGATTCATATTTACTTTATACGCGTTATTTGCTCCATTGATCATGAATTTTCAAACCAAGGTTCCTGGTTCCCCAAGCAATCTGGATCAGTAATATAATGTCTGCATCTTAGATTGTCCTTTTCATTTCTACTAACTCCAAATACTACTAATATTTAAATATTTCTAATAATACAATCTTTCTAATAATATTCTACTACCTTAAAAATTACCACCATCACCACCAGTTCCATTAATGGTTAACAATACCATTTCTATGAAGTAGTAACAGACACATGATAAACCTGATCTGTCTCTAAAAATGTATGGTCAAAGATGAGGGAGACAGAAGAACAGGAAGAAGCAAAGGAGGGAGAAGGGTAGGAGGGAAAAGAAGGTGAGCAAGGTAGACAGCAAGGAAGAAAATGCCTAACTTGTCTCCTTAACTCATGGGTTCAACAAAAGCTTTCCATTAATACTGAAAATTAGCTTTCATGAACTTTCTTTGCTTTGGGATTCCATAATGGAATTTTTTTTCTTTTTATTCTGCAGTACGTTTTTATTTTGTTTATATATTAATTTTTAAAATTTTTTTACATCATTGTTCATTTTTAAACAATATTTGCTTCCCCCCACTCCCTCTGGTGTAGTCCCCGTAGAGTTTCCTTCCCCAAGGCACCCGTGCACCATCACCTCAGTTCCCTGTGCGCCTCCCTCCCTCCCTCTGATCCCTCTCCCTGCTCCTCCTCTGCGGGATGTCTCTGGTTTATAATTGTCTGTTTTTGCTTTGTTGTGTTTTGTACTGTTATTATTTTTTTACACTGATGTCATATTTGGTTCCCCTATATTCCTGCTATAAGTGAAAACATCCGATATTTTTCTTTTTCCTTCTGGCTTATTTTGCTGAGCATAAGTCCTTCTAGCTCCATCCACATTGCTGTGAATGGCATGAGTTTATCTTTTTTGATTGCTGTATAATATTCCATTGTGTATATATACCACATCTTCTTGATCCAGTCATCTATTTTTGGGCATTTGGGTTCAACATCCCTTATAATTAGGGAAATGCAAATTAAAGCCACATTGAGATACCACCTTACACCAGTAAGAATGGCATGTATCAAAAACAAAACAAAACAAAACAAGCAACAACAAATGTTGGCGAGGGTGTGGTGAAAAAGGCACTCTCCTGCACTGCTGGTGGGAGTGCAAACTGGTCCAACCACTATGGAAAGCTGTGTGGCGATTCCTCAGTCTACTAAAAATGGAGCTACCATATAACCCTGCAATTCCACTCCTAGGGATCTACCTAGGGACACAAAAACATTGATTCAAAAGAGCACCTGTACCCCTATGTTTATTGCAGCACTATTTACAATAGGTAAAAGCTGGAAACAACCATAAAGGAATTTGTAATTGGTAAACAGAGGCATATAAATCTGTCATTCCGATAACCTGATACTGAATCATAGGGTGGCAGACATGTCACCTGATCCAGGTTTCTCAGAATGCCAAGAAAGAGTGATTTGTAAAAATTACTAGTTTTTTTTTTCCCTGAAAACATGTTAATTAGCAGCCAAGCAAGATTTCATTAAGCTTTGTGCTATGGGGTCATACTAATAGAAATACTTCCATTTCATAAATTTCATATTTGGAGCACCATATTCCAATCAATATTTTATATGGACATTCCTATGAAATGATGAGCAATTAAGTAGGAAAAAGAAAAATTAGCCTCTTGAATTCTACTACCTGAGCTATTACCCACATCACCACCACTCCCATTAATGGTTAACACTTACTAAGGTTTTTTTAAAAAATATTTTATTTATTTACTTTTGTGCATAAGAACTAGAGTGTAGGCCAGTGGTGTGTGAGTGTGTGTGTGTGTGTGTGGGTGGGGGGGTGAGAGGATTCCCCAGAGACAGAGCGGGGAGCAGAACAGGCAGATCTACTGAAACACACTGCTGAGGGGAGCAGCGGGGAGACAGGAGAGGTCTGCTGCGCCATGTGGGTCAGCTCGCTGGGGGCTTTCACAGTGGTAGCGCTGAGACCCAACCCCTAGGCCACCAGAGAGGTCCCAACACTTACTGAGTTCTTCCTACGGTGCTATTCTAAGTGCTTTTCACACATCAACTGTTTATTCCTGACAGCTGCATAGGGCAGCACTGTTATCCTATTTACCAGATAAGAAAGGGAGGCACAGACAAGTTGAATAACTAGTCCAGCATTATTCCGCCAGTGACTGACCAGACCAAGACTTGAGCACAGGTGGTTCAGCCCAGAATCCTATTAAACAGCTGGGTTCAGAGCCCAGGGCAACCAGCGTGGGTGGGGCTGCGGGAGAGAGATTCGTTCACTGAATTGGATGCAGAATGTTTTCCTTTACTCAAAATTGCTAACAAAATCTGCCCTTTGCCTTCTGCCCCTTCCTTCCCTTCCTCTTTACTGTGTCTCTCCCTCCTCTGCTTTTCCTTTTCTTCTCCTTTTCCTTGTCTTTTTCTTCTTTTTATTTTTGCTTAGGTGGTCCGAGTGTACAAACAGAATCTTTCACCTTCTGCTTCTCGTTTATCCTCCCACTGCCTCTAGCACGCGCCTCAGATGGTCCTTTTCATTTCTACTAACTCCAAGTGGGTTCATGTCCTTCTCACTTCATACTGCTGGGAAAGAGCTTGGATTTGTCTTCTAGTCGTCAAAGCCTCGCTATTCACCCTCTGACACAAAATCTATATGGTTATTCTCCTAAAATACTGTCTCATCACGTTAGCAGACACACATCATCACTATGAGTGAGTTCTCCATTATCTACACCATCATTTCTAAACCGCACCCCCTAACTCAGGCCCACCCCAATTTTTACCTCCAAATACTCTTTCTTCACTGTCCCCTGTCTATAATGATATTCTCCCATTGGTATCTTTGCTTAGAGGAGTAACAGAAGTAGTAGTGGTGGTGATAGCCATATTTAGACTTGATGACAGCTAAGCACTGCACTAAGTACTTCATGTGTATTAATTCAAATAATTCCCACAGCAACTCTGTGAAGCAACATCTTACAAATTTAAGACATAAAATGGGGTTAACTCCATTTCAGAGATGAGTAAACAGGAGATGCCTATGGTAATTTGCCCAGGTACGTAGTCAGTCAGAAGTGGAGCTTGGAGGCGAACCCTAGCTTTCATTTCAGAGTTCATGCGCTGAACTATTTTCTAATACTAGAAATTCTCCTAGTAAAAATGCCTCCCCTTCCATTGCAATCTTTAAAGGAAGGCAAGAAATGTTAATAAAATTCTCCTTAAAAACTTTCAGTATTTATCAAGGCAGGAATACCCTTCTGAATGTACACTGAACTTAGCACATACTCCATGCAACACTCTCCAAAATATTAAACAGGAATATATTGGTTTCTGATTATTTCATGTATGTCATCTCCCCAATGAAACTGTCATCTTTTAGACAGAACAGTGTCTTTTCAAAAGGTGTGACTAATGAGTGGGTCATGGAATTAATTCATGGGTTGCAACCAGCATTAAAAACAATAGAATAAGAGGAAATTAGCATGTATCACTTTCAAAGCTTTTGCTGCAGTTATGTGGGAATTTGCATAGATCCTGATGTAAAAATGTTCTGGTGGTCATTTAAGTCATGGTCAAAAAATTCTCAAAGTCATTATTTCAGAGGGCAGGACTGATTCATTATCTTTCACCCCTACGAGGCCTATCAGTGCTCTGTACAGAGTGATGCTCAATAAATACTTGACTGGCTTGATGAAATGGCTGCCTGCCTTTTCTATTATAATTGCAAACTCAGTGCTGAACCAACATATATACATCAGAGTACTTATAGATGTACATACACTCTTTGTTATATGATCATGTTGAACCTGATGTTGTTAAACAATTTTTGAGTTGAGCTTTGCCTGTATTGAGATAATGTGTTTAAATTCCTAAGCTGCTCACAGGCCCCAAGTGTTAAAAAGACAGTGTTTTGCACGAGTGAAAGATTATTCTTTACAATAATCTTAAAGAATGCATTTCAATGGCAAATTGACTAAGCCTGATTCCCTTTCATAAGATGACGAAACTTCATTATTTTTACCATGTATTTCTAGAAATAATCCCTTTAACAAAATCTACATTAAATGCAGTGTGTTTAAAAAAATTAAATCTCTTAGTGTTCAGCTAAACCGTGCAAACAGGGAACAGCTCTCTGCTCACGCCCTCACCATTGGAGCAGTCTGGGCCGGTCCAGTTGGGGTCACAGGTACAGGAGCCACTTTCTTGGAGGTACGTGCCGTGGCCAGAGCACTGGTCGGGACACATGGTCTTGAGGATTTCACAATTGTTGCCGCCCCATCCGGGGCTGCAGTGGCATTCCCCGTGGATACACACGCCGTGATTTGAACATCCGGGATCGAGACAGTCCGCTGGGTAAAGAAGGGAGAGTCAGGCTAGGAGACGTGATGCATAGCACATGCAGAATAAAGCCCTAATCTAGGTTCTAGCAACATTTTGGAGAATCACATTTACCATTTTCAAGAACTTATGTCTAAAAAGGCAAAGAATCCTACAATCAAGCATGAAGAATCAGGCCATCTAGGTCACGGAAGCTCTTGCAGGCATTTGTAATTTTCATGAATTACATACATAGGTGGTTGAGATTTCAGGCGATTGCCCTCTGTTCTGTCTAATCACACATTACTGAGTCTTGGCTTCTCTATAACGAAATATGCATCATCTGACCTAATCCCTGATCACTGAGGACTGACAGCTGTAAGGGGCCCTCAAACTGTTTGAGAAATAAATGAGTTGCACACGCTCTATCCTTCTTAATTCACTGTAATGTGCTTTAGATGACGAGATTTAATTTAGCAATTTGACTCAATAAAACTTTACACTTGTAGGGTCAATGGCCTGAAAATTTAATTCCAGAGACTTAATTGCATGACTTTGTGTGTGCAGATCAATAAAATCAATTCGATTGAAGAACAGGAATGGTGCTTTTCTGCTTTCTGAAAAAACAGCTGCACCTGGCTGTCTAGCAGGTGACTGAGATCATTACGCAGTCACGGGACCAACCTGACGTCACACTTTTGTCACTGGTATATTATATTGAGTATTCTGGTTTTCCAGAGATGCCAACATGCTGGATACAGAAGGTGCAGAAGGTGGCATCAATATGAAAAACTGTAAAAAAAAAAAGCAAAACAGTCCGCTGTGGGCTTCAAGACTCAAATGTTTGCTTCCTTCCTCAACATCAAAAAGAAATCGCTCACACTCTAGGTGGTTGTTCCTTTGTTAGCTAAAATGTTAACAGGACAATGCGTCCATCTCGAAGGACATCACGGTGACTTTGGGAAAGAGCCCATAAGAAGCTTCCTCTGCCAGAGTGAAGATGGCAAATATAATGTGACTCTTGAGGAAGCCAGCAACAGACCCCGGTGAATACTGACACGGTTACCTTCTTCGCAGTTTTCTCCTTTGTATCCCGAGTTGCAAGCACAAGAGCCCATGATGCAGATCCCACGCCCCCCGCACTGGGGGTCGATGCACTGGGTGGTGGGCACGTCACACTCGGTGCCCTTCCAGCCGCTGAAACAGAGGCAGCGGCCTTTGGAGTACTGGCCGTTGCCGCTGCACAGCACCGGGCAGGCCGCTGCGAGACAGAACAGCACAGAAGGGTTACCCGCCTCGCTCACCGCCGCCGGGTTCTGACGAAAAGACACCTCCCTGGGACAGGGAGGGAGCCCCCCATCTCCCACCCCCGACCCCTTTTTCTTTCCTGTCTTGGTAGTTTTCTGCATCGCTCCTGTTTCTACGGGTTATTTATATGGGCTTAAGAAAAGACTCAGACTCGCCTACCTCTTGAACAATCCGGACCTAGAAATCCTGGAAAGCAATGGCAAGTTCCAGAAACACACTCTCCATTCCCATGGCAATTTCGGGGGCATTCTACCACTGACTCTGTGGAAGAGAGAAAGAAGGGACCTCAGTGATCTAGTCTTGCCTCTCCCACAGGGTAAACTGTGTCTCCTTGAGCATTTTAAGTTACATGGTGAAGGAGGTGAGGATGGCCTGGTTCCAAGCCAAAACACAAAAATAAAAGAGGGCCTCCCCTGGTGGCACAGCGGTTGAGCACTGTGCTGTGAAGCTGTCCGCAGCCTCTGTAGTGCCAGTTCGATCCCCGGCCACCGGGAGGGTCCCACATGGCGCGCAGACCTCTCCTGCGGCCCGCTGCTCCCCTCAACAGTGTATTTCGTCAGCCTGCCTGTTCTGTTCCCCGCTCTGGCTCTGGTGAATCCTCTCACCCTCCTGTGCTTCTGACTGTGCCCAGTGCTTGTATAAATAAATAAATCTTAAAAAACAAACCCCCAAAAAACCCCACAAAAATAAAAGGAGAAAGAATTCATTGCTACTTGTGAGCCAAGCCACAAAGCAAAGCAAAGCAGCACATTTCAAAGGCAAGTGTCCTCACACGTCCTGCTCCAAGCTGCCAGTGCCTCCTGGCTTGTCACATATTCATTAAAAAAAACAAAAAAAAAAAAAAAAAAAAAAAACCAAAAAAAAAACCCAAAACTTAAAAAAATAGTTCTCACATTGAACCTCCGGCTCGGACACCCTAGGAACCACCCAAACTTGGTGGAGACCATTTAGTTGCTAGTCAACAGTGTTTGGTCTGTAGCCTGGAAAAAGAATCGCAGACTGCTCTTACCTATCACAATGGTATTAAAAGACACCTGCTCCGCATTTTTCCCATCGTTATAAAAAGCCAGATGCCAGATTCCAGAGTCCAAGTACTGGATGAAGCCGGCCTCGTGCAGGCTGACGGACCTCGCCTGCCGCCCTGCTCTCTCGGCTTCCAGCAGGTTCCGCTGCTCTCTTGCGATCAGCCTGCTGCCATCCAGGAGCTCGACAAAGTCGTACTGAGGACGAGGAAGAGTGTTTTGTGGTCAGAGAGAGGATGCGTTAGCTGCCCCTCTTTTTTCTTCTCCTCAAACTCTTGGAATCAAGTTGCTGATCAACTGGACTTCTGTGCAATATACAGTTATAGGGACGAGGAAAACTTCCTACTGTGTGCCATTGCTATATTTCAATTTCACCACCATTTTTTTTCTCTTATTGGGCAGTATGTTTTTATGATTGACTTAATTCTCCAACTGATACAAAGTTGGGTGAGCTTAAGTAGTTTGGAATACAGTCGTAAACCCATAACTTTCCAAGTCAGCGAGTGGTCTTATGTTAGTTAGGTCAGGAGATAGTCTATTAAGGTCTCCTCCTATTTAATATTCATGTATGTTTCTTAATAACTAAAGGTGAAAATGACCCAACAATACCATTGCTATGTATTTATACAAATGTATGAAAACACTAATACAGAAAGATTTACTCACCCCTTAGTTCATAGTACCATAATTCATAACAGCCAGGACATGAAATCAACCCAAATGCCCATTGACAGATGATTGGATAAAGAAAACGTGACATTTATACTCAATGGAATTCTACTCAATTATTAAAAAATATGAAATCGTGCCTTTGGGGACAATATGGTTGGATTTTGAAGTGATGCTGCTGAGATAAGTCAGACAAAGACACGGGTGGCTTCACTCATTTGTGGAATATAAATAACAAAAACAAACAACTGACAATAAAACACAAGAAAAATAACTCCAAGAATCACAGAAAAATATGGTGGTTACCAGAGAGGATGCAGGAGGAACAGGTAACAGGGATCAATTTGATGGTGGGAGAGTGGCACTAGAATTTTGGGGGTGGATTCGGTGTGGGTTATATACTGTGCTCCTGTATCTTACACACTATTGTAAACTGATGGTAAATTAAAAAGTGAAAGGGAGGAAATTTTGAGTTTCAACTTGTCTTTCAAGTATACACTCATAACCAACACTTTCTCACAGAGATCGCCAATTGCCTCACACTACAAACAAGAAGATAAGGCGGGAGTACCGTGCATGATGGAGTTGGCAGGAGTAACTGACACTTGGGCATCTTCCCAGTGCTGGGCTATTCTGCAGAGAAATTTACACCCACCCCAGAGGAGGCTTATTCAGACATCCAAAGAAAAGTTCCCTGCTTAGTGCTAAAACCACCCCTTTGGAAAGTGAACAAATTACATGGAATAGAAATACTCTATAACCTTTGTTTTTAGGGTGTAAAGTATGGGTTTTTGGGCAAACTTGAGCTTTGCTTTATAACACCTACTGATAAGATGGAGATGTAGATTTCATGTGGGGGAAAGCCTTAAGATCTGATGTTATTTTTAGGACAAAGTTCAGTCTTATCATTTTGGAGGAGGTAAAATTCTGAAGAAAATTCGAATTTCTGAAGAACCAGACTACTCTTGTTTAACTCAATGCAGTTATTAAACCCATGACGTTTAATAACAAACTCCATGGCAACTATATACCTGTGTTCTTTTTAACTTTTTTAAATTTAAATTTTATTTTTATATTCCCCAAACAATTACAACCCCCTTATTTTAACCCCAATCCCTCCTTTCCCCGCCCCCCACCCCCCATAGAGTGTCTCTGGTTCATAGTTGTTTGTTGATTTTGATATTTTCTTTCTTATAGTTATTCTTTTTCCTGGTCCCTTATTTAAGTTTTCTAGATTCCTGCTATGAGTGAGACTATCCGGTATTTTCTTTTTCTTTCTGGCTTATTTCACTGAGCATGATCCCTTCCAGCTCCGTCCATGTTGCTGCAAATGGCATGTGTTTATCTTTTTTGAATGCTGAGTAATATTCCATGGTGTATATGTACCACACCTGTGTTCTTAAATCAACCTTTCGTGCTGGGATAGTTTCGCTGCAAATCATTGCAATACAGAGGAGGAAGGGATTTTAGAGACCATCCAATCCAACTCTTTCATCTTACAGATTGACACTGAAGTGCAGAGAAGTGAAGGGATTTGTTCAGGGTCACAAGGTCAAAAAGTGATAGGGGTGCGCTTAGTACCCAGGTCTCAGACCTCATTCGAAAACAGGCGTCACACACATGCACTTAAATGATACAGCACACTATTAAGTGTAAAGCGTTAAATTGCTTCCTCGGGCTTCTTGCTGTCCAGGAGAATGAATTGGGCATCAGGGAGAAGAAAGTCAATTGAAACCTTGGCAACAATCAAACGGACAGTTTTATAAAGGGTCACAAAGACTTTCAAAACTCAAGTGACTATTCTGAATGGCTGGCCAGTTTTAATTATTTCAGGTTGATTTATTTAACATTCCCCAGAAACACAGAGGCGTTCAATTTGGGCTGCTTTATAGCATATTTCATGTTTAAACACTGAACTCAGAAACAGTTGTTTGCTCTGTCGATCTTGAGTAAACCAGAGAAAGGAACTCTAATAACTGTGGAGCTTAAGAAAAGGCACAACCTACTTAAACACATATATCGTGGTAGAAAAGAAAAGTGGGTATCAAGTATATTGGGTTTAAATACAAGGAGCATGAGAAAATCTGAAACAGCACCTCCACAAAACTCATCTGCTCGAAGAGTCAACTTTAAATCTTTCAACTTTCAAAGTGTACATCACAATTGTTCACCTGCAATTATATTCTGAGACTAAATATGGGTTGCATGCTAGGGTGGTGCTTAGCTTAAAGGGATTGTTCTTGAGTTATAAAAAAAATAATCATGTATGTGGTTTCAATGGAAAAAAACATGCTCTTCTATTTCACTGGACGATTGCTGAATGCAATTTAACTGCTGTAATTGAAGTGACAGAGGCCCACTGCTATTTAAGAAAATCTGGTTATTACATCCTAGTCTGTCACCTGTAAAATGAACTGGAATCAAATGTAGTTGTAATCTAAAATTTAAAATTGGACACTAATACACAATAAAAGTTGGATGTGCAAAGATGAAAGGCATTTTCTTTAATAATATAGTTATGAAAAATGTTAAATCAGAAAAATGAATACACCGAACCAATATATTTAAAAATTTCACAGCTATGTAATTTATTTGTGTATGAAACATTCCCTGATTCACAATGACGGACGCTGGAGGAAGCATGTTTAAATTTTCTTATTCATCTTTAAAGAAGTGATTTTTTTTTTAAATCAGCAGCATATGATCAATTTTTCTTCATAGGTCATAGGAAAGCATTTCTCACAAAATGACATAATATAAAACACATATGTAAAATCTTCCAGTGCTCATTCCAAATATCATATTAAAATCAGCATAAAATTCCATGGGTAAATAAGCTGATTATCTAGTATTTTTATCTACTAACCTAGTAGTTGATCTTGGGAAAAGTCTGAGCTTCAATTTTATGGTAGGTAATTTAAATAATTTCTTTTAGACTTTCTAGACCTTGTCCAAACCACAATTTCCCATTCACATACCATGACCTGATAGGAGATTATGAAAAAGCAGCTCTCCAACTGCAGCTGTTATTTGAGGTGATTTTCATACCAGCAAATTGACTATAAAGTTTTCTGCGTCTCTGATACAAGATTATTTGAGTGGTTTTGAGAACTACACTCTTTGCAATCATCCATGGTTATCTAAGAAAGGTCTTTTTCAGTATTTTTCATGAGAACTTGTGGCTTGAGGGGGGGTAGAGCACCTACCATCATATTTATTTTTATGTTCTCCCATAATTTCTTTACTCTGAGTAAATCTGGCAGAAAGAGTGAGCAGATGTTTGAGCTGAATGTCTTGCGTCTACTACGTGAAAGGGATAAACTCACAGAATTTTCATAGAATCTTTGCAGCAAACTACTTGCAAAATCCATGGTGTTTTACTTGGTGCTCAAATGCTGTTCAATATTCATTAAATTACTCCCAAATTTTAGTACATTTTAATCAATCAATAATGGTTAAAGCAAGTCAGGAAGAAAATGCTGTTCTTCCTTCTAATTCACAAACCTCAAGATAAATGTAATTTACACTTGAAATTCTTTTCACTGGAAAAGATCGATATAAAAGTGGTCCAACAGTTAAACAGCCAAACTTGAGAAACAGAAGAACTTCAAAAATGCAAACTAGCACTTTTCATCTTATTGACAACAAAGCCTCCTTTTTACCTGAGTATGGGAAGGTGGTAAGCCTTTTCGGCCGTATACTCCAATCAATGCATCCTTCTGAAGAGAGATATTGAATTTAAGAAACTGTGGCTGATCAATAAAGAGCTGTGATCTCCAGAAGATCCCGGGAGGAATCTCTTGAATTGCTCTTCGGCCAATATCAAGTTCTCCAGAATCTATGGTGTTATTTTCTTGTGTAAATCCACCTAATTTTCCTGAATGCAAGAGATCCATTGAAGAACAAAACATTAAAAAAGAAAACCAAACCCAAACAGGTATTCTATCAAAGTTCTTGATGCTAAACACTCAAGACATTTCATCCTCTTTGATAAATATAATGCCCTCAAAATTTTCACTTGAAAAGCTTTTTTTTTTTTTTTTTTTGGTGAGACATGGCTGTTAAACAAATTGTGATTTAGCATGTTCTTTCAGATAGTTAAGCCAAAATTGTTGACTTCCCCCAAGGTATGCCTATTATCGAAACTGTTTTCACACCTACAGTCTTTCTTGATCACTTGAAACATAATTATCTTACAAATTTTATGTCTTGTTGTTTCTTGGGAGAGATTAAGTCTGGGACTTATCAGTCATTCTAAATATACCCTAACACTGCAAAGTGTAAATTAAGGCAGATTGGATTATGGAGATTTCCAAATCAATCCTTAAGCAAACAACAAAACCAATCAATGGCACTGATTCATGGAGTTCCTGCTAAACTATGTATTAGAATGAATGAAAAATCAGATGCTGGAAGGAGGTAGAGACAAGAGAGTGGGGATATTACGAGGGCGGGGGTGGGGGTGGGGTTAAGGCTCACAGAGTTTTGAGGCGGGCGGTCATTGCTCTTGCCTTTGACCGCCTTCTCAAATTCACTTTCAGCCTCAGCAGACACACTTGGACTGACCCTCTCCATGACCTTCAACCTGTAGCAACAAAACTCTCTGCTCCTGGATGGCTGCCAAGTCTTAGCACCACCTCCTCTTTCCCTCCATGACCTGATTTTGGAAAATAGATCCAAAGCCCTTTCTCGTGTGGTGTTCTCTCTCCCACTTTGCTAAGGTTCTTGCTCAATTATTCTGAGGAGCTTAGTGATAAAAGAGGATTCACAATTTTCCTTAAATGGACATAAAGCACACTGTCTTACACAGAAAGGAGCTGTGAGGGCTAAGGAAAAGTATGAAATTGGACAAATTATCCTCTATCAATTTAATCTTTTAAAAGTAACGAAGTTGGCTTTCTACTCAGTTTTAAAAACATCAACAGGGATGTTAATTGAGATATTATATAAGACACATTATCTGATAGCCTCCAGGGAAGTTAATTCAAAATTTAGAGGACTTAAAATCAATCCAGAGAGTTGTGAATGATCTCACTTCAATGACAGAGGAGTGAGTCTGAGTTAGTCACGTAACATTGAATTCATTTTTGAGCACCTACTGGGGACACAGAACTGTGGGTGAGAAGGAAACACCAGCAGGGAGCAATGTCCTAGAGATGATATACTCTGGCTTCCGTGGCTTCTATCAAGTAACTAATTATTTCCCTGGGGAAGACAACACCAGCCTACCGATGAATTCAAAGATCACCTAAAGCAAATCTACATCAGAGAAAGTGATATGACTGAAGGCTGGTGGTGGAAAGATTCATTGAAGAGTTCATTTCTGAGGCAAATTTTCAGTAACAGGTAGGATAAAGTTCCTGAGTTGGGGTATTATGTTTAAAGCCATGGCAGTGGAACTGGACTCTTGTCAAGGTAACAGTGAGAGGGATCCACCTCTTGGCAAGAAAAGAAGTTAAGAAATCTGATTTTCGAGTCAGAGAGACTTAGACTAGAATCGTGGCTTTGTTACGAAGAAGACTTTGGGGATGCCATAATAATGCAGCCACAGGACCGCAGCAAGGGTACCTGAGCATTAATACAGAGTACTAGGTTCTCAGGAGGGACTGATGGTCTTCCTGGGAGACAAGGTAGACCAGCAAGAAGGTCATCACTTGTGCTGGACACTGAACCTCACGGCAAAGAATTTGGTCTTTATATTTCATGTTAGTGACTCTTGTATTTTCAATTCCGTCAAAGAGGGCTATGCCACTCTCTTCCCTCAAGATACAGATATCACATCATGGTGTTACTATGCATATCACGGATGGCACGTGTAATTAAAGTAGATACTTGAAGTAAACCAATTATGGGTAAGTTGTATTTCAGTGGCTCAAAGGCACTTTCTTGTGTCTGTGTGTGTGTGTGTTATGTGTGTGCACATGCACACACAGAAACAGAATTCAAGATGACAGAGGAAGATGCTCAATGGTCACAGAGGAGGACAGCAGATGCCCAGGAGTGGCCAACAGGGTCCAGGGGATTCACAACAAAATCACCGTATAGAAGAGTGTGAAGTTTGATGGAGACGACTTACTAGTAAACATGGGGAGAGTTTTCTGCCTGGGCTATTGACCCCACATGATGCAAGTAACATCAAAGCACTGCAAGAGCTAAACAGGGGGCCATCAGAGGGCCTGATGGGGCTCAAGGTGAATGGAGGTGATCGTTTCCAGGTTGTTAAAGCGTAGCAGTGTGAGAAGCCCAGCAGCAGAGAAGCGACTTGGCATGTGATTGCCATCACCCAGGTATGTGGCAGGAAGGAGCAGTATAAAAAAAAATCATTGAAACCTTGGTGGTGCAAGCGGTTAAGTCTCAGCACTAAGAAGCGATCTGTAGCCATTGCAGCATGAGTTCGATCCCCCGCCAGGGAGCTACCCACAGGGTGCAGCAGACGTCTCCTGTCTCATTTGCTGCTCCCCTCTGCAGTGTATTTCAGTCAGTCTGCCTGTTCTGTTCCCCAGTCTGTCTGTGGTGAATCCTCTCACCCTCCCCCCCATACTCTGGCCTACACCCCAGTTGTTATACGCAAAAATAAATAAATCTTTAAAAATCATAAAAATACTCAGTTTTACAAAACAAACTCTTAGATTTTGAGAACAGAATGGTGGATCCACAGGGGAAGGAGGTTGGGGGCAGGTGTGGTGGTAAAGAGGGGCAGAGGATGGAGACTGAACTCTCGGTGGTGATCATCTGCCAGTATATACAGGTGCTAAAGTATAAGACTGTACATAATGTTCTAATAAACCAACATTACTACAGTAATAGTTTAAAAAAAAAGGGAAAAATTAAAAAATAAATTACGGTTTCAAATTTATGTCTGTTTCATGGTAAATCAGATATATTAACCTATTGAACCACATTAGAGAATCTGCTTAGCTTCTGATTTTAGGACATAAAGTTATATGCATTTTTATTGGGGCAGAATTACCAGTTTCTGTGAAATGAAAATGCTATGGATACTATAACATAATGTTCTTTGTGTTACAATTTATAATAAATTCCTAATAAGTTGTGACCTTTGGTTGACTTCCACATGAAATTATTTTAAAAATATTGAATAGAATAGTAATTCTTTTCTCCACTAAGATGTTAGTACACCTATCATATTTAAATATGGAAATGATTCATATTTCGACTCACTTATCAAGTTCATACTTTTCTAAGGCAATTATTACATTTTATTGTTATGAGGACTATTATCTGAAGCATATGTGATTTAATTCACTCCTCAGTGTTGTTTCTACGTATTGTTCTACTGGTTTTAGCAGCTTTAATAACATACCTGTGCTTTCAGGATGGATAAGCTTAAAATGGTGTTAATGACAGAATTTTTCTTTCCCAAAATAACACCTTTGCCCAAGACCATTAGCTTTGGCAATAGTAGTCAAGTTCTGACCTTTAGGGCTTCAAGGTTGCTTTGTTGCTTTTTGATTACACTGATTTTGAGGGGTTAAAATATTTCTTAGTGAAATAATATATGTACCCACTGCTGTGTCAAGAAGTGTGTTTAGGTATGCAATTCAGCCCACAGCTGATTTAACAGGTGCTTGAAGGAGGCAGCAGCATCAGTGGCAATAATTGTTTATTTCTTCCTGTAATGAAAAGCCTAACTAATCATAACAGCACAGAATCCCTGGGTTCAAGTGTCCATGGTCATTTAGCCTGGGTGTCTTCAAGTAAGAAGTTGTACCCCTATGGCCCAAGGAGGCTTTTCTACGAGGAAGTAGGATGGACTGTCTTAAGGAAATCAGTCTCTAGCACTCAGTGATTTCTAGGTATGGGCATTTAGAACAGAACAGAACAGCCCCTCGCATATTCAGAATCTTACTGTGACACAGTCTTGGAAGAGAAAACTTGCACAGTGCCAAACAAAAGCAAAATTCAAAGCAGTCTTGTTAATGAAGCCTCCTTTACTTTCTTTCTATTATTTACCCAGAGTAGGAATTCAGGTGGTGACAAAATGCCTATTAATTTATTTGAACTGGAAAAATAAGTCAGAGTTTTTTTTGACAGAAAGTTTCATTTTTATGAGTATCAGCTTTGCCACTAAATTATAGGGTATGCATTTCCCACAAATTAAATGAGCTAATTAAGTTAGAGATATTTAAAGCCTGTAATAACAGTAGCATTCAAAAACGATTATAACAAAAGTGAATTAGGATGAACAATAATTGTATTTTCCACCCCATTCTGCATATATCAGATTTAACAAAGTTTCCCTTAATTAAGAGTATAGGTATAACTGGCAGCATTTTGCTAAGCCTTTGTAAAGTCCTTGATTCGTATATTCCACAGAAACCAAGAAATGAAATGATTCTGAAAACTCTGTAACAAATCTTTAGGAAGTGGGTAGCTGAGAATTCTTTGCTTTTGATAAAACTGAAGAAGCAATGTGATGGAATTGCAGCTTGTACACCAAGCCAGCTTTCCAGAAATAGAATACAATGTGATTTTTGACATATGACTAATAATATCAAATAATTGATTGGCATCACTGTAAAAAGAAATTCTTGCATTTCCACCTGTTTACTTTGTAGCAAGATTTCTTATATTTAGAGTTATAGAAAAGGGAACCAGAACAGAATTGACATTGAGCCTAATCTTGTTCTTGCAGCAAGTACTACTCATCCCTGAGCAATCAACTATTTGAAAAAGTCTTTATTCATCTCATGCAGAAAGCAGTTTTCACTTTTTGTATTTAGTAATTATCCAAATGTTTCACAAGCTTATACAATAATTAGGTAGATGTCAGTCCAATGTGTAAAGCTAATCATTATAAGTCTAATCCAATATAGAAGAAACAGGTTTCAAAAGATTTTTAAAAGTATTATGGTT